AATAAAAGTATTCAATAACTTACTTGAAGTAACAATTTCGGTTAATTTAACGTCGTTTGTCTGATTAATTACTTTATCTTCAAGATTTTAAGTCAAAGGTTGGGTAAAGATATATCTGGATTGTTTTCAATATTATTTTAAGTATTTAATAATAATATTACAAATAGCTTTAAATAAACGGACTTAATTAATAGAATTTTATACTAAAATTACTTTAATGATAAATTATTTAATTTACATTATTGAAATTGTTTTTTAATTAAAAGTATTTTACCTCTGACCAGAAACATTGTTCTAAAATATTTACAAGATCATTTGTTTTAAAAATAATTTTAGAGTGTTTAGATACTTTTAGAGTATTATTTTATTTTACAAATTCATCAAAAATACTATAAATGTTAAACAGTTAAAAAAATTAATTAGTATAAATAAAATAAAATTGATTATGCGGGTTTGTGTTCGATCATCGATTTGCGCGTCGAAATCTTTCAAAAATTAGTAAGAATCACGTTTTTCAATTGTAATTTCTGGAAGCCAAAAGTTATTGAGGTCGATATGATTTTAGAAAATGTCAAAGATTATTCAATTCTTGATAAATTTTCTTAATACCTTACATATATTCTGCAACTAGTTCAAAAGTTTTGAGTGGAAACGTAAAAATATACTTTACTAGTTAGTACATTATTATACAAACTTATTAGTACTGAAAATATTAATAAAAAAAATAAAATTATTATATAAATTATACAATAATATACTATATTTTCTCTAGTAAGTACACAAGGAAAAATATTTATTTTTTTCTCTATAATGCATTTTTAAGTAAATCAATTTGCACCAGTCTAATAATACAATTTTTGCATACGAGTAAATAATATTCTGTATCCATAAATACATCATTCTACATTTCATTTACAAAGTGTACTTTACAATTCAATATTTATTCTACCCCATGTGGTTTTAAATGTACCTGTCGACTGGGAACAAAGTTTCCGTCGTGTTATTTCTATATTTCCGCAATTTCTTGAATATTGTAACTGTCCTTTAGTGCAAAAGTTTAAAGAAAATACTGTTTGTAACATTGATAGAAACATAATCGTAAATTTCCAAGTCAAAAATGTAAAACAGACATAACTATACGTAGGAAGAAGATGCTTGGTTTCATGTTTTAATGGCCGGCAGCAAATAAAACAGGTACTTTCAAATTAAAATGAAAGCTAGGAGGAAAATAGTAGAAATTATCGTGATAAAATAGAATAATTATTGAAATTTATGCTTAAGAATATAGATATGTAAATTGGATGTTTTTTGCGAAAAAAGTGAAATGTTATAATGATCAGAACAAACGCACAGGTCTTTAAAATTTTATTGCAATGCGTGAAACTGCTAGAAATTTTTAATAATATGTACAAGCAAAGATATGACGCAACTTTTATTTGTTTGTTTTGATGTGTTTGATGTAGTTTTGTTGTAACATAGAGTTAAATTGGACCTTAGTGCCGCACCATATCCTCCTATTAATACAGCCTAATTATATTTTATATATATCCTTACGCTTCGAGCAAATGTTTCAGATTATCATTTTAATATTTCCCCAGCTCTCCATTTATTTCTCAGTTCAGATATGAAATATATTTCTGTATTCTAGTCTGTTTCTCAACGTGGCCGAGTCAAAGGTCAACTCTCAGGCAAATGGTCGTTTAATATTTTATTGGACACTCGGCGATTTAGGTCCTGTATATAAATTTTGCTTCTGCAGGGTTCATGTAAAAATAAAAGTTGAGAAAAAACACGTTAATGTGTAATCCTTCGAACATGACTACGGTATTTTACGATACGAACGGCAACTTTATTGCGATGATAGCAGCAGTTTTATATGGGCGCGATAAAAATTGTATTTATTGGCGTTGCATTTATAAAACTTGAAGGATTGAGCATTTTGATAAAAAAAATTATAAAACATACGTTGAATACAGCTTCTTTGCAGCCAGATATATATTACGCCTCTTTACTGAAAGATACACAATACTTTTTTTTTCATATATCTTACGCTCTATTATTATGTTTTTTTTTTTCCTATTTCCAGTTAGGGACAAACAATATGTGACAACTTTGCCTGAAGAAGAGCGAATCGCATGGATGTGGGTGCTCTTGTTTGCATTTGCTGTCCCAGAAATGGGAACACTCATCAGATCTGCAAGAATTTGCTACTTCAAAGTCTTCAAGAAACCATCTTCTACTGAATTCTTCATGGTGAGATAAAGCAATTTTAAATATCTTGCAATTTTGTACTTTGAGGCATCATTTTAAAGTGTATCAGTAGACAAATTAAATCTCAATTATAATTTTTTTCATTTGCAATTGTAAGTAATATTACGTAATAGTGTTAGATATCGTATTCGAATAAGATATATTCTAATTCAAGAAATGACAATAACCCATATATCTGCAAAAGAGAAGTGTTGTAACATGTTGTGTACCAGCTTATAAATTTAAACGGCGCCTTAATATGTAGATAATAGACGATTACATAATTTCATGTCCCTCTCGATCGGACCCTATTGTCTTTTATCTGGCTAACAATAGCACCTTT